CTGTGGAGCCTGAGAAGCCCACACGGGAGAAGAAATTCCTAGATGACATCAAAAAGCTGCAAGAAAATTTGAAAAAGACACTAGATAATGTTGCCATTGCTGAGGAGGAAAAAATGGAGGCTATGCCGGAGTCAGAGCGCAAGGAGGAAAAGGCTGAGGCTCAGTCTCCTATTCGATCAGAGTGGCCCAGTGAGACCCCAGTGCTCTGTCAGCAGTGTGGCGGCAAGCCAGGGGTCACTTTCACTAGTGCCAAGGGCGAGGTCTTCTCTGTATTGGAATTCGCACCCTGTAAGTTGGTCCCTCACCCTGGTCTTGCTTGTTTGTTTCCCTTGTTCATTACCACTGGGTTCCTTCGGAATTGACATATCCCCTGTTGGAATGAGGGCACTCCACTCCGTTTCCATCCCCTGTGCCACGCTTCTGACTTGCTGTTTCTCTAAACCCCTGTTCCAGGTGAAGAGATTTTAAACATAGTTGAGTAATTCTGATTGGAGAGAAAAGGGATGAGTCAGATAAAGGGTATATTATTCATCTTTCTGGGGAAAAATACCAAGCCATGAAGTGAAGGGCACTACTTCCCAGTGACCTGGGCTTTCCCTGGCTGCCAGTCTTTCCCCTACCTATTACCTTTTAGACACATCTCCCCACAGTTCTCTATTTTGCTGAAATAACTGGTCTTTCCCACCTCCAGTTAATCATTCATTTAAGAAGATTGAGTTCCAGCCACCAGAAGCCAAAAAATTCTTCAGCACAGTAAGGAAAGAGATGGCACTGCTCGCTACCTCGCTTCCAGATGGCATCATGGTCAAAACTTTTGAGGACCGAATGGCAAGTAGAGGGAGCCTATTTCCCACCAGAATAGAGCTGTACATCACACACTATCACTTGCTAGGTCCTGATCCTCCCAGCCTCCTGTGGGAACAATGTATTCTTTCTTAATTACAGGGGAGCTTGAGACCAGGGGTTTATTGCCAGTCTTTACACAGTACCAGTATCTTCACCGAGGAGGCCAGAAAAATTCCCATGGTTCTAATCAGCTATTGCTTAAGGCTTTAGTGTCTACTCTCCTAGTCACAAAAATGATTATGGTAATTGATGATCCCAGAATGTTGTTTGCAAAATGTTTGCCAAGATGTCTTCCTTATTGCAGAAGCCAATTTTATTTGTTTCTTTAAGGTCCCAGTTGGATTTTTTTTTTAAGTATTCACCCTTTCAATAGAAGAGCCTCCAGTAGAGGGCAACCTGGAAAACTTCCCTTTAAACGTTTTCAAATCTTGAAATTGACGTCTTCCTTTCACCTTACTGTGAGATAAAAGGGTTGTGTGGAAACAGCTTTTTTTTCCTGGATATCAAAGATTTGGGTAGTAAACTAGTAGTAAGAAGGTACTAAGTGACTGTATGGATCAGACTTTTAAGGTCAGAATTCTGGTGACTCAGGCTACCGCATTCCACACAGTTTATCTCTGTATGGAAAAGTGCAGTGTGTCCTGGCTGATTCCAGTAATCATTGACCTTATCCCTCTTCTTCCAGGACCTCTTCTCAGCCCTGATTAAGGGCCCTACTCGAACCCCTTATGAAGATGGCCTCTTCTTGTTTGACATCCAGCTCCCCAACATTTACCCTGCTGTGCCACCCCACTTCTGCTACCTCTCCCAGTGCAGTGGGCGGCTGAACCCCAACCTATATGACAATGGGAAGGTGTGTGTCAGTCTGTTGGGCACATGGATTGGAAAGGTAAGTGAGTTGTTAGGATAAAAAATGGGAATGGGAGAGCAAGCCAAGAATGTCTATGGGTTGTTATTCACTACTCTTGCATATGTATTTCAGGGAACAGAAAGGTGGACCAGCAAATCCAGCCTTCTACAGGTGCTCATCTCTATCCAAGGTAAGTCGTGACATGTGGTAGATAAAGGAAAGTGGGTTCGTAGCAGAGGGATTTGGTCACTGGGCCTTTTTGGAAGAGTTACAGTTTTCTCTTTGGGTCAGATATAACACTATCTTCCCTGAGTTCTTAATTGAGTAAGTTTAAAAATAGGTTTGGAAGACATCCATTCATAATTCCAGACTTTTCTAAATTGAGCTTCCAAGGGCCAGTCTGCCCAAGATGGGGAAGAATTGACCTGGCGGGGCAAGGACAGTGTACTGGACAAAAAAATTGGTTAGCAATGAGCTAGAACTGTTATTTCTCCTACTCCTTGAAAAACAAGCTAATCCGTAGGACAATGAGTAGATAATCAAATGTTCTTTAAAGTAGCCTTGCCCTGGCTTCTCCTTTGGATGCCTGGCCTGTTCCCTTATACCTTCCATTTTCTTAATTAATCCTACAGGCCTGATCCTGGTGAATGAACCTTACTACAACGAAGCAGGCTTTGATAGTGACCGAGGCTTGCAGGAGGGCTACGAGAATAGCCGCTGCTATAATGAGATGGCGCTGATCCGAGTGGTACAGTCCATGACACAGCTGCTACGGCGTCCACCTGAGGTCTTTGAGCAGGAGATCCGGCAACATTTCAGTACAGGAGGCTGGCGGTTGGTGAATCGAATTGAATCCTGGCTAGAGACCCATGCCCTCCTTGAGCGGGCCCAGGAGCTGCCCAATGGGGCCCCTGGGGACGGCAGCTCGCCTGAGCCACCCACAACTACTGAGTTATCTGACTCCGGCCGAGAAGAGCCAGAGGAAGCAGGGGTGGCTCCTGGTGATGCCTCCCAGGGTTCAGACTCTGAGGGTGGTGCCCAGGGACCAGCGCCTTCAGTTAGCAAGGACTTAACAGAGCAGACCCTTGAGGCCACCCCAGACTCATCCGTGCCCCCCAGTGTCAAACCAAAGAAGCGAAGGAAGAGCTACCGAAGTTTCCTGCCTGAGAAGAGCGGCTACCCAGACATCGGCTTCCCCTTATTTCCACTCTCTAAGGGTTTTATCAAGAGCATCAGAGGAGTGCTGGCACAGTTCCGGGCAGCCCTGGTGGAAGCAGGCATCCCTGAGGGCACAGAGGACAAGTAGCAACCCCCAGACTGGAAAGACAGTGGATGCAGTGGGAGAAGTTGGCCTGCTGCTTACTCACTCCCTCTCCTGGAGTCTCCCTTCTCCTTTTTTTCCATCCCCAAAGAGAGGGCCCCCTCCTGCCCTCATCCCCCCCAAGGTGAGTGATGCTGAAGTGAAAGGAGTTTCTAGATGCACTCCCATTCCTGGTTTGAAGCCGTCTTAGAGCAAGAGGTTCTTTTGCAACAAAGAGAATCTGAACTTCTAGGTTATTTTTTATGATTTTTTTCTCCTCTTCCCCTTGTTACTTCCTAACAAAAAAGGAAAAGCCCAGTTCTTCCTTCCTCCTTCCTTTGCCACTAAAAGTTGCAGAAAATAACACTGAGGCTGTCCTTAGGCCTGCACATTCTGTTCATTAGTGGCAAGACCTAATCTCTGGAGCAGTGGATGTGCCTTGCATTCATTGTAGTGGGGAAAGCCACGCTCCAGTGGCCCCTTGCCCTCTAGATTGACTCCTCTGCTGCCCAATCCTGCCCCTGCTGCTCTCCCCAGAATCTACAGTCTCCTAACTGTCTATGCCCCGTGCAGAACAGTTGTTCCTTAGGGATTTCCTGGGACTGTCCCATCAGTCACACCACCCTCTTAGAACCTTGCCTGTGTTAGCTCGTTACCTATAAGGTAGCAGTGGCACATAGAGGGGATAGTTTAGCACTCTGGAGTGAGGGTGAAGATCATGGATTTGATGAGGAGGTAAAAGCTATAGGTGCCTTGCTGATCCCAGACCCGACCATATGGGAGAGTAAGCAGCTTTGGTTTCCTTAAGCTCAAAAACTTTTTGAACTGAGAATATAAGTGCTCCTTCCTCTCCTCACCCAGGAGTGAAAGCGCAGCAGGAAGGAGGGAGTAAAGTGCTAGGGACTCTGCCCCTGTCATCACAGTAGCCACTTGACAACGTGGAGAGGTAACATGAAGCTCGTACCAGAGAGAGGCTCCCTTCCTCAGCAGCCAGCCCATTGTGGTGTGAGAGTGAGGAACCCAGCTGGCTGTAATGCAGAGACTCTGCAGGCTGAGGTGAGCTGTAGCCTGCTGGGGACTCACACCTCTCCGAAGACACGCACAGAGGTTTACATATTTTCTAAGCTTTTGATAATGTGAAGCTCCAGGTTATGAGGTTGCTATTGAGCACATTGCAGCTATGTAATTTTTTTGGTGTACGTATTGTAATATTTAAGGTTTAAAAAAAAAAAGCTAAAATCTCATAAAGACAAAAACCTTAAACTTAAGAAAAAGACAAAAAAAAAAAAAAGCCAAAGCATGATGCATCTTGTTAGCCTTAAGCTGACTCCACAACTGTGCTGTACTATAACCAGCTAGCAGCAGCAGCAGCAGCAGTGGGGAGAGTGGTCAGAGGCAGGACTGTGGGTGGCATTTGAAGACTTGATTCTATTCTGTACAGTATTTAAGAACAAAACAGGATTGACTGGTGGGGCCATGCTTCAAAGTGCGTTCATTGTTCATGTGGAGATGTGAATGCTTTATTGCTTATAATATCTGTATAAAGTGCTGTGTGATTAAACTTTTTTTTTACCTGCATTTTTTTTCTTTTCAGTTTGGCTCATTAGAATGTAAAAATAAACAAAAAAGGTAACGCCATTAAACCTGCCTCTGCCACTCATCTGGACTTAGCTGCCTTTTTTTTTCCTCTAAGACAATTTTTAAAACACATGCTCTAGCACGCACGTGCGTGCACGCACACACACGCGAGCACACACACACACAACCCCACCCCCTCATTCCTGGTCCATTGAGAACCAGACAATCTTACGTCCTCACCAAGGGTCCACCAGGCAGCTTCCTTTGAGGTCAGTCAGATCACTTTTCAAATACAGTAGGCGTTCCTGTCACAGATTCCTAGCTGTCTGGCCTTTCTCAGAAATAATGGCTCCTTTCTAGCATTTGGTAAAGAACATCATAATGTTTGACCTCAGTACTTTGGACTGCAATAGTCAAAAACCTCAGTTTAGAAGTTTAGTACCTCTTTATGAGGCTGAAATTGCTGGCATAACACAATAGGGCTCTAGGCAGGTATTTCTCTTTTTTACTTCAGTCCAGGAAAAAGATCCCAAATAGGAAGAAGTGGTGGGGGGTGGTTGGGTGTCTGTTGACACACTGCTTCTACCATTCCTACAGCTTATACCTCCTTCAATGAGTCTTGTCTAGTTTGTTCAGTAGGAAAGAAGTGAGGTGGGAGTAGGGGAGGATGATCTCTGTCAAAAGAGCTAGTCACAGGTTGGAGAGAGCTAGGTTTTGTTGGCAAGAACGAAAAAAACTACCTGACTTGGGGGGGAGGTGCTGTTGATCAAGTTTGCCCATTTTTTCTCCTTTGCCTCAATTTTCCCTACAGCTGTAGCTAAGAAAGATACAATTCCCACCTTTTCACCCAAAATTTTGGCCCAGATAGAGTATAAACACTTTAAGGGCGGCAGAGACTTTTCTATTTATATCTCCACTGTCTGGCACATTGTAGGGACTTTTAAGAAAGCTTATTGTTAACGCTTCAACCAAATTCTTTGATGATTACCTGACTGATAGAGCTGGAATCCCCAACAAGCTTACACCTTCTCTGGTTATCAGTAAAAATGCTGTTTCCTCTACCCTGCATCTTTCTAGAGCAATAGTGTTGAACTCCTATAGAAACAGAGACCACTAAACTGTACATCAGGATCCCTTTGGGTGGCATATTGACTTTGAAAACCTCATGCTAATGTAATTTTTTTTTAATTTTGTTAAAAAGCTCCCAATTGCATTTTGTGGTTTGGGCTACACTCGAGTTTTGCCAACCAAGTTTTGACACCTGTGTTCTACGGCACTGAACTTAAAAGTTCATGTTTCAAGTTTTATCATTGACCTTGGGCAAATAGCAAACTCAAGTTTGTTTTTTTCCTCATTTGCAAGCAGAATAGCTCAAATGAACCTGGATTTTAAGCACTTTGTCATTGTAAAGCACCATGTAAATATCATTTTTCCTAGGGCCAAGGTCCCACTTTTTCCTTATCCCCCAGAGATGGGACTGGGCAACCTGAAAAAGTCACTTTATTTATATCACTCGTTTGGTATGCTACCTCTGGCTGATAGAGTTCAACTAACTCTGGTCCTGAAGTGAGGAAATCTTGGACATCTAACAGAGCTGATTTGCCAAATTTTGAAGTTCTGGAACTACCTACTCTGTGGAGGGATTTCCTTTTCACTTAGGGGTAAGGCACTCCCTGTTTGCAAAGCAGACTAAGACCCACCATTGCAAGTCCAATGGCAGCCACACGCCTTGTTTAGGGCCCTATTTAAGAAGTGAACTCTGATGAAGCAGAGTTTTCTGAACAGGGTAGAGGAATTGGCTCTGGACAAGGCTTTAGTTCTGGACAGCCACTAACCAACTGAAAGCGGCCAGGGTGCACCTGGCCTTGGACAGCTTCACTGGCCAGCTGCTCACCATCCACTGTAAGCGTGCCCCTGGCGTCATGAGGTTCTAGGCGGAAGGCTACTACCGGCACATACACCAGATTAGGGCAGTTCAGATCCATGTGGGTGCCCTTTTCCATGGCCATGAAAAGGCGAAGCAACATAGCCCGGGGCACACCAGCTCGAATGTAGAACAGATGTACAACCCCTCCAGTTCCCTTAGCCATTGGTGCAGCATACATCTCACTCCCCAAGTGGGAATGCAGGAGAGCCAGCACCAAGACAAATTCGCGGTCAGGCACCACCGTCCAGTTTTCTGGCACCGGCTGCTCCAGAGGCACTAGGAGTGAATCTACAGGGCCTGGTTGGTGAAGGCCCAAGGGAGATCCAGCAGAGATTTTGGAAGAAGGTGCTCCAGCTGGGAGATAGGATAATGTGCCATGATAGGTGCGCAGGGCAGCCAGGCGGAGGAATGTGCCCAGGGTGAATCGAATTTTTCCTAGGCACCTGTACTTTTCACTCTCCACATCCACGTCCGCAACGAAGCCCCAGCCCAGGCTGAGCACGGAGAAAAGGCGGCTGCCTGAGGCTGTGTGTAGGGAAAGCAGGTTCATGGGAGAAAGCCCCCCGTGGCACAACAACAGCGTACAGTTGGTCAAGAGGTCTTCGTTGGTCACCTGTTCATTGCTGGGAGGTGAAAGTAGAACATGAGCAAAGGGTGGAATCCTGATTCCCTGACCCCACTGGGCCCTTCCCTGGGGTTGGGCTAGTAGGGAGTGTAATTGTCTGCAGCCAGCCTCCTGAGGGAGAAAGAAAGCCTTTGGCTCACTGGCCCTGCAGTGGCCCTCCGCTGAAACTGGAGCAGATGGAGAGATAGCTGAGGCTGGGAGCCTCAAGACTTGAATGCCCTCTCGGGGATGTAAACCCCGGGGGGAAGGGAGTTTGAGGGTGCTTAAAAGTCAGCAAGCCAACTGGAAGGAGGGAGGTGTAGGAAGGGGAAATGAAGGCAAAATCCTGGCCTCTCACCCTGCATAATGGTTTACAGATGCAGCTAAAGCATTGCCAGAGCCTGCTGGAAGGCTACAGAGAGGCTTCCGAATCGCTGTTTCCCAGTCAGGTCGTTCCATGAGGCCGTTCACCACCTGAAAGTGCAAAGTCGGTACCTGCGCAGCCTCCCCCCAACTGAGCCTTCCCCTTAACACTAGCCACCTCCTAACAGCATCTGTCTGCACCTATCCCTCTTTGCCACATCACCCCCAGCCATTGCCCATCACTCACCTCGTGCATCAGCCCATCTCCAGACATCACCACCAAGGCATCCCAGGAGGAAAGGTCCTCAGTCCGCACCAGCTCCCTCGCGTGGTTTCGCCACTCTGAAGGGAGGAGGGAAGCAAGCGGTTCAGGTTCTTCTGCATTCCGACGCGGGACCCCACAGTCAGCATCACTCTGGCCCTAGGTTGCTGACCCAAGGTGGAAGGGTTGGCAGAGCACCTGCCCCTCGGGGCACTTAGCGCTTACCAGTCTGTCGCAACTGGAAGGAGATGCCAGCTTCCTGCAGCATGGGCTGCACTCTGTTCTGGAAGAGGTGCAGAGCCTTGCCGGTTCCTCCCCGGGGATTCAGTAGCACCAGCACCCTGCAGGGCCTCGGCAGAAGTCTCCTCGGGTGCCCTGGAGAGAAGAGGAAAAGGTAAAGGACTGAGGCAAGAGCTTCTCCACCAAAGCGCCTGGAAACTGGAGCTGTCCATCACCTGGACGTATCAGGGTGAAACACTGAGCTCGAATTACCCGAATTCAGTTGCGACATGGGGAACCATTTTGGAGATGTGGCTACTCCAGCTTTATGAACAAAGGAACGAATGAAACTGGAGGATGAACTAGTGGGAAAGAGCCCTTCTTGACACGCCTCCGGTTTTGTTCCCTCTCAGTCTCTAGTTTGTTGGGAAAGTAACTCAAGGAAGGGAAATTGGCACTCGGTTCCTCAATCCGATTTTTCCAGGCTTTGGTATTGTGGGCCCCTTCCACCACCACCACCACCACCACCCCTACTACCGCTACCGCCACCGTGTTCCTTCTTTGGCCCTCACGCACTTGTATCCGTGGCTTCTGCCCGAAACTCCCTCAAGCTCCGGAGTGCCGGTGAATGAGGCGCTATAGAAACGCAGGCCTCTCCGGCTGCCTCCGCCCCCGGCTCCTTATCAGCCTCTCCCAGACGCGGGTCTCGAGGCTGGCGTGGGGACTCTCCTGCCCCGCCCCAAGTTAAGGGGTGAGGGGAAGCATGTTCCATCCTCAGGGGCTTGGAGCTAGGAGCTGCGTGGGGAGCAGAGGAACAGCAGCTTACACTGCTCCCTTCTCAGCCGAGGAAGGACCTGCGACCGGCTGAGTTCACTGTTTATCCCGAATGACGGAGGCGGAGAAAAGAGGATCAGCAGAGCCTCTGGGAAGCTAGGCTCACCAGGATGGGGGGGGGGCGAGCACCGCCCCCCCCCCCCCCCCAGCCTGCTGCTGTAGGACCTCGAAGCTCTCGGGAAGAGAGGGCTCGAGTTGGGGAGATTCTGCGATCCCAAGTGTGGGGCACTCCTCCAACGAGGTCCCCAGCACCTCTTTGCCGGTTTCTCTGGATCTCCAGAGAGGTATCTGGGTCTCCGACCAGGGCTAAGAGAGGATGGGTCTGATAGGGAATCAGGAATCCCTAGTGTCCCTGTCCCCAGACCAATGTCAGGGTCAGAACTCCAGCCCTATCTGACCCGCTTCTTCTCACATCGGGCCTGGGGGCGGGAAGAAGGGGTCCCTGGGACCGGGTCGTCCTTCAATCACGCAAAAGTCCTGGAACCCCGGCAGACATTTCGCAGTCACAAGATCCAGGACAAGGGATTTTCCCACACCGGCCAAGTTGCCCGCTGCTTGCCACCTCCTCCCGATTCGGGAAAGGTCTCGAGAATGAGCTCGGCTTCAGACTTAGTTCCCCCGACCCCGGGCCTCAGAAGCTTGACGGTGGGGGCTGGGCCAACAGATGGTTTCGCGTGCTGGCCGGGGTTGGGGGGGGAGGTCGGGGTGGAAGCAGACCGCCTGTTCAACCCTGTCTCCTCCGACCTGCCACCCTGTCTCCGGCTCCAGCTCCAACTCTGCAGGGAGGGAGACGAATGAAGTCCGTGCCCCAATTCCCCCGGAGGCTGGGGAAAGGCGGATCCGAGAGGGAGGAAAGGTGGGGCCGCTCTGGCGGCCCTCCCCGGTCAGGCCGGTTTGCCGCAGGAGGGGCCAAAGCTGTTTGCTTCGATGGCCTGAGCCTCACTCCCTAGGATCCAACCTCACGTCTGAATAAACAGGAGCTCTTTAGAGCAGTCCTATTTCACCAGCGCTCCTCCCTCTTGCCCCAACTTTTCCCCCAAGTTCTGCCACTCGGCATGGCTTGGTCAACCGAGCGAAGGGCGTTCCAAGTATTCTCCCCCACCCCCTGGTGGCTGGCCACGCCTCCGCACCCCAGCGCTCCCGGCTCACCCCCGGAGGGCGAAAATCCGGAATAGACTCTACCGAAAGAAGAGCATCTACCCTGGGGCCATCAGACCCAGCATTTAATGAGCCCATCCCCAGGAAGCAACCCAAGCGACCTTCCCCCCAGAGTAGAAGTGCTAAGCTTCCAGGTCGGCCCCGCAACCCGCTTAACTAAGTCCTGCCTCTAGACTCCGGTCCCCCATCTCACCATCCTGACTCGAGGGCATCCTCCTAGTCGGAGAGCTTCCGAATCTTCCCGGCAAACAGCTCGGTCCCTCTCAGGTTCTCTGCTGAAGCTCAGGGCACCCCCACGCCTTTCTCGTCCGAGGCTTGGGACACCCCCACGCGGCAGAACCAGGGACGCCCTCCCCCTGTTCCGTACCGATCTCGAGCTCCCCCCCGCGCTGCCGCTTCGGGCAGCCAAGCCGAGGGAAGTCACCGGCTGGGCAGGCAGTGTTTCAGCAGCGGAAGGAGTGACAGCGAACGCGGCCGGAGACGCGGCGTGTCGGGCGAGCTGCCCAGCCTGGGGGCAGCGGCCGTGGCAAGCGAAGCCCGAGCCGGAGGCGTACATGTGCCGCTAGCCGGGCAGCTGCGTCAGCCTGGACCCAGGGCCCAAGGCAGAGGGGCTGAAAAAGCGTAAACTGCTCCCGCCGCACAACTTCAGGCAGGCGCTCAAAAGTCTGGCTCCAGCCTCCTAACGCGACTTCTGGGGTAGGGAAGCGGGAAGCCGGAGCGAGACACTGTACTGGGCGGGGAGGAGGGAGGAAGACCGGGGGTGGAGTCCGGACTGCGTCTGGTTGAATCTGGAGGCTCTCCAAGCACTGGGCGCAAGGAGCCGCGCAGCTCAGGGTTCCCTACTCCCGCTCCAGAGGCTGCTACATCACAGAGACTGCCTCCTTCGGAAAAAGAACCCAGTGGCTCTGGCAGATGCCCACCGACCGCCGACCTGGGTCGCACTTTACTCCACACCCGCTGCTTGCCCCGCCCCCGACGGCTTCCGCGTAGAACTATTTTTAACCCTCTAGGCTGCTACCCTTCAAGTTCTGGAGGCGAAACCAGGCTGTCCAGGAGGCAGGGTGGAGCAGTACACCTGTGGAGAACCTGCTAGGGAGGCTGTGAGCCCCAAGCATCCAGGAGAGCTGGACCCCACAGGAGAACACCTGGGCTGTGGAGTGGTAAGGGTTAGTTTGGAACCAAGGAAGTAATTCCAACACAGTCTCAAGGAATTTACTTACCCTGTATCCTGAGGTCCTCTGAATGCATGTGGGGAATTGAGTGACAGTACGTGGCAGAGAGAAAGGAGACCAGGGCTGGGGAAATAGGGAAGGTGAGAAGGAAGGAGGAAATGAGGGGAGACTACTGGAAGTGATTGATAGATAAGGCCTGGACCCATAAATAACGTTTTCCGTTTCAAATTGCTACTAGACAATAATATCTGTGAAGGCAAGAACTGGGTCGTATCCAAACTTATACGCTCTAGGGCCTCCCTAGTACAATGCTCTGCCTGAAAGAGTCTGATAATACATATTGAATTTAGTTGAGATTTGCACGTTTGTCACCAGCATTTACTTACCGAGAACCTCAGCTTATAGAGCTACAAAAACAAAATAAACAAAAAAAGTCACTGTCCTTAACTAGTTTGCAGTCCAAGATAAAGATACAACATAGACCAAATTAGAAAGCTATAAGCACAAAGAAAGGTACATGGACTCAACCAGTTTCAGCCTTAGGCACTGTGCTTTGTTTGGGCAAAGTGGTTAGGGATAGATTGGAACCTGTTACTAAGTCAGTCTTTAGTGAATGGATCTAGGTGAAGCGAAAGTTAGCCAAGGGCCAAGGTCTATGAGAGTACTACTAATCAAAGAAAGAAGATGGAGAAATGAGGGGAAAGGACCCATATGTTACTCAACTAGCATTTATTAAGTGCCTGTTACATGCCAGGCATAATGCTAAATGCTGGGAATGCAAAGAAAGCCCCCCCCCCAAGAAACCCCCAAAAAAAGTCCCTGCTCCTGTGGAGAAGCTTCTAGTAGACCAGAAGACATCTCATTTCCCAAAAAGCTGCACTCATTTTGGATTCTGACTTCACCATGTCCCCAGTAAACTAATCTTTGGGAAACCTCATCCTCTTCTAAGATCCAATCAGCCTTGAAACTCTCAGTTGGCCAGTACCCTCTCTCTGCCCTTCTGAGTGAGGGGTGGAGCTGGGAACCCCTCAACATACATTTAAGGAGGGATGAAAGAAGAGACGTCTCCTCAGACTTTGACTCATTTCCTGCTCAGATGCACTCATTTTGGATTTCTTTGTCTTCTCTAGCTGCACTCTTTAGGACTTACTTGACTTCTCCACCAGGCCACCGAGTGTCTCACCCCTCCCCATTGGCCCCCTCTGTTTTGTATGTTATCTTCCATTAGATTGTAAACTCCCTGAAGGCAACGATTATCTTTTTCATACTTGTAGCCCCCAAGTTTAGCACAATGCTTGACTATTATGACTAAGCACCTAATAGGTGCTTAATAAATATTTATTGACTGAATCTCAAAGGAAACCAGGGAAGCTAGAAGGTAGAATAAATAAGGAGAGAGAGAGTGCCAGGTATGGGGGATAGCCTAAAGGCAGGAGAGATGAAGTATCACTGTCACTGAATCACAGAATACAGGGGAGAGAAATAAAGTGTTAGAAGACTGAGAAGGTGGATGGGGACAAGTTATGGAAGGCTTTAATGGTCAACCAGAGGATTTTGTATTTAATCCTGGAAGTAATTGGGAACTACTGGAGTTAGTTAAATAGGGGAGTTGACTTGGTCAGAATTGTGCTTTAGGAAGATATATGCAGAAATATTTATAACAGTTCTTTTCATAGCAGCGCCAAACTGGAAACTAAGGGAGCACCCATCTGTTGAGGAATAGTTAAACAAATTATGACATACAAATGTAAGGCAATATTATTGCAACATAAGAAATAGTAGGGGCAGCTAGGTGGCACAGTGGATAGAGCACCGGCCCTGGATTCAGGAGGACCTGAGATCAAATCCATCCTCAGACACATAACACTTACTAGCTGATGACCCTGGGCAAGTCACTTAACCCCATTGCCTAGCTTTAAAAAAATATAGTAATAGGGAAAGTTTCAGAGGAAACTTTAAGAACTAATGCAGAGTGAAGTGAGCATAACTAGAACACTTTATGCAAAGACAACAGTATAAAGAAAAAACTACTTTGAAAAGCTTCAGAAACTCTGACTTCAATGACAAACCAGGATTCCAGAGGAAGGGAGATGAAACATGATTACCCATTTCCTGCCAGTGAAGTGGTGGACTAAGTCAACACGAATTTATTAAGCTCTTATTAGGGCACTGTGCCAGATGCAATGCTAAGTGCTAGGGGCACAAAGAAAGGCAGAAAACAGTCCCTGCTCTCAAGGAGCTCACAGTCTAAAGGAGAAAACAACTGAACAAACAAGACATATACAGGACAGAGGGAAGGCACTATGAAACATATATTTTTGGACATGGCCAATGTGGGATTTGTTTTGTTTGACTATGCATATTTGTTATGAGGGCTTTCTTTTTTTTTTTTAATTGTTCAACTGGGAAATGAAAGAGAAAATAAATTCTTGTTAGTCATATATGGAGAGAGAGTGAGAGAGAGAGAGAGGAGGGAGGAAGGAAGGAAAGAAAGAATGAAGGAAGGAAACAAGAAAGAAAGGAAAACTAGACCCAGAAAATAATAGAGGGAATTTTTTAATAGACTACAATAAGAACAATAAAACTAAAGGCCAATCTATATCAGACCTTGGCACGGGGGGGGGGGGGGGGGGGGGGGGGGG